TACGCCTGAGTGCTTTGGTGGATCACAAGCCGAGGAAGGCAAGTGAAGCACTGCCTGTTTGGGATGGTCTTGTTTCTCCTCCCTCCCAATGCAGAAGCTGGGCTGGAACCCTTAGGTGACCTTGTGCTGATACCTCCCCAGCTTCCTGACATGCCCCTTATTTGCTCGTTTTTGATGGGTCTCTTTCCCCTGCCCCATTATTCTGTTGAAACTCCATCGACTGTAGCTGTGGAGAGCTGGAATAGAGTGTAGGAGAAATCTGAGCTGGGATTTTTCAGCCTTTTAAAATGCGGTAGCCTAGAAAACATGTCAGGTATTTCATTAATTGCATGCCAGCACTGAGGAGTTGGTCAGTGCCTGAGCCACTAGGCTCTGGAGGAGACTCTCAGAGAAAAACTTGAGCCTTAACCAGGCTCTGCCATGTGTTCCACACAGAAAAGTCCTTGTAGTCCTTGAATAGATGCGTTGCTTTTGGCAGACTCACCACAGGAGAAAGACTAGAGCCTGAATTTTAGTGAGACATCTTGTTGTTAAGGTGGGTTTTTTCAGCTGCCCAAAGACTCTACATACTGTGTGCTGACGGGTTTGTCCACGCTGTCACCTTGTTCCTCTAGCTAGAGACACAAAGCCTGGTGTTACTGCAGCACTTCGTTTTTCCTGCTGCTTCTCATCTTCATCAGCTGCGTGGCTTCCCTGTTCATTGTTCCCTTCGCTTCTGCACCCACGAAATCTCAACCATCCTTTCCCAGTGTGCCTGGGCTGGGAGGCTGCAGCCGCCAGAGGGAACTCTGGCAGCCGCAGCAGAGCCGCTCTTGAGCACAATGCATTCCTCCCTTCCTACGGCCCAAATTCCCCGAGCATCAGATGTGACCTGTATTTTCCTTGTTCACACTGGGACAGAATAGGAAGAACTTTCCCACAGCTGGGCTGCACAGGCAGCTCACCTAGCATGCCCGGCGACCAGAACGGGTGGGTTTGTGCTCCAAAACATGAAAAGCGCCAGCGTTTGGCATCGATCGCTCTCTATTTCCATCCAGTTCAGTCCTGCGGCGTCAGGTTAAGGACTCCTTCTGCGCCGAGTCCTCTGATGTATGAGCATTGATGTGAACTTGGAACAAACCCAGCCGTCGCAGTGGGGAATCCCAGGTTGGCAGAAGGGCTGTGACTCTCGTGCCCAGGCACGGGGATGGCACCACAAGCCCTGAAGAAGCTTGGGGCAGCAGGAGAGAAAAGGTTCAGAGCGCTGGGGTTTGTGGTTGGATGGGCCCCGGCGGTGCCCAGCCCCTGAACAGAGCTGCGTGACCTACGGATGGGCTGGATTGAAACGTCTGGGCATGATCAAAATCTCCTTTCCTCTCCCAGGCAGCTGGACAAGGAGGGCTGGGCAGAGGTCAGGAAGCAGCTCCGGGAGTTCGCACACACGACCCAGGTAAAGGTCTGGAACAGCCCGTCTGGATAAAAGCTCATCCCTTACCCGTGTGTCAGAGACATGCTGCCCCAGCTGGCTGCTGCCCAGGGGCCAATAAGCTGCTCCAGGCTGGAGCAGGGCAGCTTTCCACAGAGCCTTGATGTGGCTTTGGCCTCAGCCCCCAAAGTGACACTAACGGGGCCCCAGAGAGTGAGGTACCAAGGCTGCACTAAAAGAGGGAGAGCAGTCCTTAAGGCTGCTCATCGCTGCGCGGTATTGCTCCTTCCCACATCTCAGCGCAAGCATTTAGGCATCTGTAGGACAAATGGGTCCACACTCGACCTTGTTCAAGTCTAGTCTGGATCTGAATCAGCTTCCCAGTCTGGTTCCCCCTGGGTACAAAGATATTTGTGCTGCACTGGGAAATGGGGTGGCCCAGAGTGGGGAGGAGAGCTCTCTCCATCCGCAGCGCTGCCCTACAGGCCCCATGGAAGCGTGGTGATGCTCTCCGGGAGCAGGGTCGAGGGGGGGGTTGCTGTGCGGCAGTGATGGCAGCAGTGGGAAGAAGGGTTGGTGCTGGGATCCCGACCACACTGACAGCCACACACGGGGGAAAGGGCTTTGGAAACCAAGCAGAGGTTTGGTTTTCTGGGGTAGACGAGGCTATAGATGTGCTACTGGCCCGCTTCCATGTTGTGCCTTCCTCTGTCCGCAGCGACCTAAGGAAGTGCTCCACCATTCCCTGGTCACGTAAAGCTGAGCACCTAAATGGTGTGTATCTTTGTGGCCAAAAGAAGGGAGATGCTATGACTGAGAGGCTGCAGCACTGCGCTGGGAGCAGGTCCTGCTCCTGGCTCTGCTGTGCGGCTCAGGGGCGAGATCACTCAAGCGCCACCGACTCTCCTGGTGACACAGGGACTGTGCAGTTAACCTGGGTAAGCTGGTGACCTACTGCCCGGAGGCACTGTGCGAAAACCAGATAGGTTTTTTTTTTATCTACAAGGGAAGGTCACTTCCCTTAGCAACAAACTACCAGTGGAAAGGTGGGAAAGCTGTGTCCGAGTGCCAAATCTAGCGACTGCTGGCAGTTGTTTATAAAGCTTCTAGGGCAGTAAATCATGGCTTGGCAGGTGGGGGTTACTGCCTGTCCTGGGGTGGCCCTGGCCCCCAGGCCTGCGCTCTGGGCAGGGAAGGCTGCCTGGTCAGTGGCTGATGCCCTGGAGCGGTGGGGCCTCCTCACCCGGCTCCTCTTCCCCAGCACATCGGTTTGTTTTCGGTTGCTTCTGTAGCCTGACGGCAAGCGGTGCTGGAGATGAGTGATGGGGAAGTGGTCAGTCTCACCCGGCAGAGAGGGACAGAGCAACTTCACTCCCATCTCACGGATCTCCCTGTTTTCTTCATGTTTCTTTCCTCCTCCAGGAGGACTTGGAGCAGGAGAGAAGCCAGCTGCTCACTCGGGCGATCGTGGCAGAAGAGCAGGTGTCAGAGCTGCAGGAATACGTAGAGAAGCATCTTGCAAGGTGAGCTGGTAGGATCCCCCTTCACGTGTTCCCTGCTCTGTGCTCCAAGTTTAATCTCCCAGGCTAATTGCCAGCGACATCGCCATGCCTGCCACGCTGTCAGCGCCTGACCTCGCCAGAAGCCAGCTGCTCACTCGGGCGATCGTGGCAGAAGAGCAGGTGTCAGAGCTGCAGGAATACGTAGAGAAGCATCTTGCAAGGTGAGCTGGTAGGATCCCCCTTCACGTGTTCCCTGCTCTGTGCTCCAAGTTTAATCTCCCAGGCTAATTGCCAGCGACATCGCCATGCCTGCCACGCTGTCAGCGCCTGACCTCGCCGCTGCCTTCCCGCAGAGCTGCCGGCCTGGCTGGGGGCTCCCCTCAGCACAGCCAGCTGTGCAGGCAGCTGCCACCATCCCTTGTTCCGCAGGGCAGGGGGGCAGTGTCTGACCTTCCCAGCCGCATGCCTCCTTCCCTGCACACTCACCCATCCTTTGGAGGAAGCTAAGAGAGGGGTTGCCTAAAATCTAAAGCCTTCCAGCAGCCCCTGATCTATGGTCCTTTCTCCCTGGCTTGTCATGCCCTGAAGCAGGGGGAACAGCTCCTTAGGCAAGGACGGGTGAGACCGAGCAGGGCGCATCTGTCGGAGCAATGGTCCGACTGGGCTTGATGTAGCTCCCCAGCCAGCTTGGCTGTGAAGCCGGGTCAGACTCGGAGGCTTGTTGCTGGTACCGTCACCCGGCAGAGCCAACAAACACCTCTTCCTCGGGAAGAGGCTGTGGCTTTCTGTCTGCTGGGGCTCGGTTCCCGGCATGGCTCAGCGCTCAGGCTCGCTGCTCCGCATTAACTGACCCTGCGCATCCTCAGCAAGCAGCAAACGCAGTGTACGTTGAAACAGGTTACTCGGGATCGTGACTACACGGGCAACGATGGTGCTGCTCCCCCATTGCAGGTACAAGCAGGAGATCCTCCGGCTGAGGAAGCTCCCTGGCAGCGAGGTGCCGCGTGTGCACAGTGCTGGGGCGGCCGATACTCGCTCCCTGTCCGGAGCCAGACGCACTATCAGCCAGGAACCGTAGCTCTCCACCCCGGTGCTGAGGAGCAGCATGAGTGGAGGAATGAGCAGGACTGAAACAGAAGCTTTCTGTTGGGTGAACCAGCTGGGATGAGTATCCTTCCCTGGCTGAGAGCTGGGAGGCACAGCGAGGGAAACCACGTGGGTGTTCTCGGTCTCAAATTCATGGCACTAAAATGAGACAAGACAACTGCGTCTCGTCTGTCCTCTGGCCCCTCAGCTGTAGGAATTCCGCTGTTCCCCGGGCACATCACGCCTCGGGACATAGGGTCAGGTTCCCAGGCAGTTTTTTACTGTGGGGCTGCAGGGCCAGGTTCCCCTTCCTGCAATAATGTTTCTCCTGGGTCAGACCTAGACCAGAGTCCAAGGGCTGACTCTGCTCCTGCCTTTGCTCCGCTCTCAGCTTCCCAGGGATAAGGCCAGTGCCGGTTCAAGCCAGACTTTGGTGTAAGGGGTTAGACAAAAGGGATGAGCTCTTCTTTTAGGGGGGAAAACCTTTTTTTTTCCCCGTGTTTGAGTGGAAAATAGAATGTTACATAAGGTGAGCTGGGCCAAACTGATCCTTCAGTGGGAGGCGAGCTGGACAAACTCCCTCCTGAGCCACCTTCAAAGGGATGGCGGAGCAAAGCCTGAGGCCGGGAGCAGTGTCCGCTCTGCGGCTCCAAGAGCATTCTGCGGCTCCAAGGCAAAGCAAAAGTCTCAACAAAAGAACCAACCAAATGTTTATTTTGAAAAATTAGCTAGAAATAAAGTAGCAAATGTTCAGAAAGAGTCACTGGAGATTTAGCCCTTAAATCCTCTGACAATTCCAGGGTTTCTAGATCTGGGGTTTTCCCCTCCTTTGCTTTGCCCAAACTGCTCACTCTTTGGAAAATGGAGGGACTGCCACCCTGCAAGTCCCTGGGAAAAAGCCTGCCCAAGCAGCCCCCTTGCTGCTGTCCTGAGCTAAGCTCAAGGACTGGAGAGGCTCTGACCCCTACCGCGGCTGACCCTCAATGCCAGGCTTAGCAAGGCCGCTGTTAGGCTGGGCTTCCCTCTGTCCTGCTCTGCGCTGCTCGCCGCACCTCCTTCATGTCATAGGCCCAGACTTGCTCTAGCCCCTGCCCGAGAGTGCTGGTGGGGGTCCAGGAGGGGAAGGGGAAGCGTCCAGCCACCACCCGGGCTTCATCAGGGAGTTCTGCAAGGAGCTTTGTGGCCAGGGGAGGTTTCTGGGGAGAGAGAGAGACAAGCCAGGGCCAGGCGGCCTTAGGAAGCAGTCACGTAGTGGCAGTGCCACCAGGGACCACAGGGCAGTTCCTCGGCATGGCTGGTGGGCCCCAAGCAGGCAACGTCAACCAAAGACCCTTCCAAAACGTAGGGCTGGTACTAGCCCTGTGCACGGTTGGGACAAGGACCAAGTAACAAGCGACAGGATGAGAGGAAAGAGCCTCAAGTTGCGCCAGGGGAGGTTTAGACTGGACATTGGGAAAAATACCTTCACCAAAAGTCATCAAGCCCTGGACCAGGCTGCCCAGGAGAGCGGTGGAGTCACCAGCCCCAGAGGTATTTTAAAGACCTGCAGACGCGGCGCTGAGGGACAGGGTTTAGCAGTGGACTTGGCAGTGCTGGGCTAACGGGTGGACTTGGGGATCTTCAAGGTCTTTTCCAACCTCAACGATTCTGTGATTTTATAAATCTAAGTGGTGCTGAGCACCAAACTGCCCCCTCGCAGCGATGCCCACTTGGCCTTAAAGAGCCTTTGCCACTGTCCCAGATTCTCTCTCTTTTCTAAGGAAACCCCTTGAGCTCACTCAGAACGTTCTAAGTCGGGGTGCAAAGGACCGACTTACCACGCTGGGGGCCAGGAACACGATCACATTGTGGCAGTCGGAAAGATTCACCTTAAAAGAGAAGGAAAAGGGGAATGAAAGAAGCAACAGGCGGAACAGTGGGGGAACTGTTCGAGCAGCCCAACGCCTTGCAGGCAATCTTCTGAGTGCCGGAGGAAGCAAAGGTGCTCCACAATGTCTGGGACGGGGATGTGTGGGTGTGAAAGCAGCGCCTCTTGCAGAACACCTGCCTCCAACATCATCCCAGAACGACGTTCCCTGCTGGGTTTTCTCCGGTCAGGCTGCAGGTACCTGATGCCAGCTTTAGCAGCACGTCTCTGAGGGCCACTGTGTGTCAGCAGCACCTACGACCTCTTCTCAAGGCTGCTCTCAGAAGGCTGCAAAACCAGCAGTCAGCCCAGGCTGCTGTTCCCTTGGAAAGGAGGATGTTTTTTCCACCTCCTGGGAGCGGCATGGGTTGGGGAAGGAGCAAGCAACCGCCAGCAAAGCCTGGCTGGAGATGCAAACCTAGCTCCAGCCAGCGCTGAACACAGCCAGACCTTGGGGACGCCGTTACCTTCCACAGATCTTTCTTCAGGAAGGAAACCTGCCCATGGTACCCAGCCTTCCAGGCCCGGTAGTTGGAGAGACACAGCAGCCAGGGATTGAGCTCATAGCCAACGGCTGGTCTGAGCCCTTGCTTATGAGCCTCTACCACCTGGAGAAAGAGAGAGAGTTGCCACTAAAATGAACCTCGGCGCTGAGCCGGCGGGACAATTTGGGGGGGGGCAGGGCCTGTTGCCCAGCTCCGCTCGTTCCCTCCTGCTGGCTCATGGAGACAGCATGAACTTGGTCCTCAGCACCTGCCAGGCAAAGGCTCTTCTTCCTAGAGGGTCATTCCCACCCTGCTCACTGCATGTGATGGCTTCTAGGGCCATCTAAGTCTGTCTAGGACCATCTAGGGCCACCTAGGGCCACCTAGGACCGTCTAGGACCACCTAGGACTGTCTAGGACCACTATGGTCCAGGACCATAGCCAGGATGGCCACCTAGAACCGCAGCCAGGAGTGGGGCAGCCTGGGTCCCATCGGCCCTCCTGGTGAGCACAGCCCCCTTCCCTGCCCTTCACCCATCCCGGGGCAACCCCAAGCTCCCCCACCCCAGCACCCCCCTGCCCCCCCTTACGAGCCGTCC